TAAAAAAATAGAATATATGAACAAATTAAATATTTTATATATAGAACATGTTATTTTATAATCTAAACTGTAGGACAAGGGCTAACTCTTTTCAAAGAGTTCACATTTTATAATTTGGTATAATCTAAATTATAAAATAGTTTTTTGTTCTATATAAGTCAAAAACCAAAATATTAAAATCATCAAAAGCCTAACCCCATGCAAGAAAGAGCAAAACAAAATAATAATTGCAATGGATTATATGTAGGATCATAATATTAATTATATGTATTTAATTATTTAATGACATGTAAAAATTGTAAATAAAAATTGTACAAATAGATTGTTTATATATCATTATTATGTATATTATTACGAATATCATAATAACATTATCTTTGTTGAATTAATTGTTTGGGCACTTGATCTTGTTACTCATTTGTTGCTCATTTAAGTCACATAAATAAGAGAATAAAATTAAAAATTGACAATAACAATCATCTTGATAACTTTTCATTAAGGATAGAGTTATGGAATCTCAAAGTGAAGTCATGCAATGATTCTCCATTATCTAAGCAAAATTATTCTGAGACATTCTTTTACTATTATTCTTTTTCCTAATCACTTCAAGCATATAATTTGAGTTATGATCACACCTATCAAATTTATCCTTAATATAATTATAAAATTTTGGTTTTTCATTGCATGTCATTGTGCGTTTGTTCTTTTTTCATTTGAATTAAAAGAGCTTATTATCTTATATATTGAAATGATTTTGACCTTAAAACAAGATTTGTAAAAACATAAATATAACAATAAGAATAATAGTCTTTAGACATGTTTAGTTTTAAAAATAACAAATTATCTAGCAAGTATACTATGGAAAATCTCATGATTTCCTTTAATATTTCACACTCCAACTAGTATATAATTTATGAAAATGTTATTTCTTTTCTTTTCTTTTCCTTTTTTTTTTATCTACATCTTTTCCTAATCACATGTATTTATAGCATACAACTAAGCATGTATTCAATGCATATTGATATAGATAAGAGAAAATATTTAGACCACACAAATAAGTATACTATTAACATCAAAAGGAAAAGAGAAAGAGGCAAAAGTTTAGTACCATTTATGGAATGGAAGAGATATATGCAAAGTAAAAGATCATGCCATATTGAGATATATGTCACAATATGGAAATAAAAAACAAGTTATAGAATGGAAGAGATGGGATGTAGATGAATGGGAAGTGAGATGATATGGAGCACAGCCCATCACTTGTCAAACAACTTTTCAAGTCAAGGTCCATAGGATTTCAAAAGTTTAAGTTGAAGTTGTCACAAGTGGTTGGTCTCCACACTTATATAATAGATTCACTCACAATTTTCCATTGATGTGGGATTTGAGGCATTACAAATTTTCACACTTAAATGCTTGATGTCTTTATCAAACCCAAGTAGAATCAGAATTAGGCCAGTATCTTCCCCACTTAAATGCTTGATGTCTTTATCAAGGTTAAGTAGAATTAGAACTAGACCCACTAGCCACTAGCCCACAAGCATAAAATTTACCTTAAGTGATGTGGGGTTCACAATACCACCAACTGTGATGGTTGCTACAAGCACACACACCTTAACAAGGTTAAGCTTAACAAGTGGTTGATCTTCACACTTACACATCAGACTCACTCATAATTTCCTACCAAAGTGGGATTTGGGGAGTTACAATCCACCTCAAGTGATGTGGGGTCCACACTATTACAGACCAAGATGGTTAGCTTGAGCCCACACTTACGAGAGGTGATTGCTTTAATATCAATTGAAATGACTTAAGCCAAAATCGAGTACTGGCTTAGCAACTCTTTGGGCCAAGATTTATGAGCTCTTAAAACCTTAAGTTCAAGTTATTAGTCGTGGTTGTTCTCCACATTTATATACCTGAGTCACTCACAATTTCTTACTAATGTGGGATTTATAGCGTTATAGGAAGAAAACCAAGATATCAACATGGACGATGATGGATTTAATCCTAACTATCTCAAAATCTATGTTTGACCAAGCCAAAATCCAACAAATCAATGACAATGAAGCAAAACCCATGTTTTCTAGAAATCAAAAAGGAAAAACAAGCCATTCACTCATGTGACCCTAGTGGCCATGCTTCTTTTTGAGAAGCAAAGTGAAATCGAGAAGTAAAGTGAAGGCACCCCTTGGAGATATGACATTCAAATCCCAAGATTAACAATTCCCCTTCCTTTAAGAATAGATGCTAAAATTATTAGTTTAATTACTGCTTTCAAAAAAAAAAAAAAAAAGGCAACAAAAGAAAAAACCTAAAGCAACCATTTAAATCAATGGACCAAGATTGATAAATTTACTTAATCTAGAATATAGAGTTTGAGAAAGGGGAGTTAACACTAAAGATTGTGAGCTACACCACTCGATTTGGGGTGAGGATGTCGAAAAAGTGAGCCTTTGATGAATAGTGTACAAATCAGGATCTATGGCTAGAGAAGAAAAGGAATTATCAATAGATAGAGAAGATGTGTAGGATGAAATTAGGGATTTATGTTATAACTAGTACTGTATATATAGTGGTTCAATTGTAAATTTGTTAAAATATGAGGGTAAAGTGGGAATAGCAAGCAAATTTCATTAAATGGGATGCAAAGCACATGCAAAAGCACCTAATCTATGCTTTTTCAATTTTCGAAAAGCAAAAGCTAAGATTAGCTTCCCAATAGCTTAAACAAATTCCTAAAATAATGAGTGTTTGGTATAACTTGTGTTTTTAGACTTAAAAGCACCACTAACAAGATGCACCAAATATGCACCAAATACATGAACATATCATGGGTGTGCTATTAGCCACTTTAGCATAACATGCATCTACTATAACAAGTAGTAAACGCAAAAACCATCTAATAACTCCTTGTATGGTATAATTGATATGTTAAGCTCCTCCTCTAGACCACTAGTAAAAAAGTTGGACCTCCTTGCAAGATAAAGCCATTAAAGTTGGACTCCTTGATAGTTTTTTCACTTGAGAAAGTAGACTCAAAATAAATATAATCATGTTTATTATCCAAGATCCCTAAAATCACATTGTTTTAATATTAAAATTATTAAATAAGATCATAATGTTAGACAACCTCTCTTCATAAGTAGTTTTTTGTTACAATCATCTATAACTAGAATGGTCCTCCTTTCTCTTGATAAGTAGTTATTAAATCTAAATCTCCTAATCTTTACAAATTATTAATGATCACAAAAAATATAAAAAGTTTGAATACAAATTATTGGTAGTTAAAGGGCCTAGATGTAGTTGGCTAGAACTAGCTCTCCTCTATTTTCTTCAGTCTTCTCATTCATCACTAGTTGAACAACTTGTTCTTTAAAATGAAGAGCTACCCTCATTGCACATGGATGACTATCAAGACATTAACTAACTTGAAGAATCATATTATACAAGAATATCAATTCATGCTTTAATGCCTGAAACACTCTAATAGTGTGTAGTTGGAAGTTTAAACACACTCAGTATGCCTTTGGACCAGCCATTTTCAAGAATGCAGCTGATCTGCCAATTCTTTTGGTTAATTTTGAAGATTGCCTCTATTTTTCCTTTTTGGAATAGTCAAAGTGTGTTTACATTAATTTTTGCGTACTTTGAAATCACCTTCTTAGTTTTCAAATAATTTTAAGAGTATATTTTCATATTGATCTAATATATTTAAAAAATATGTATCAAAAAATATATATATTTAAGAAAATTAATTTTTTTTTAAAGTAATGACTTTAAGACTTATTTTCTAAACTTGATCTATAAAATGATATTTGTTTATTAATAAATCTAGCACTTAAGATTGAAACTTGCCTTTAATTAGATTAGCTTCAAAATTGCACGGTTGCTAAATGATAGCTGTAGTATCTATATCTTAGATGTGGCGCCAGAAGAAAAGTATCCCAACCAAAGCAATGGTACTCGATTGTAGAAATAATATTGGTACGCAACACTGTAGACGTAGAAATTTTCATTAAGGTAATATTATTTATAACGAGGGAAGGGACTTCAAGTTGTTGTTATTGTTGTTTTTATTTTTTGTTTTTTTTTTTAATTTTAATTATCATGCTGTGAGGACAAGTTTTTGTACATTTTAAAAATAACTTCCTCTCAACTTCTCTTTCAAACGATGTTAAAAGCAAATTTCTACTTGACCTGATGCTTTCTTTTTCAAAGAATACAAATATATATATATATATATAT